GCTTTAAAAGGATTTGATGTCCCATAAAATGTGGCCCCATAAATTCAGGTTCAGAGGCTTCCTTTACCTTTCCTTTCCCAAACATAAACCAATACATCAATCAGCGATAAATCAATCACCAATAAATCAATCAGTTCCCAATAAATCAACCAGTGATCAATAAATCAATCACTCCCCAATAATTCAATCAGCGATCAATAAATCAATCAGTGATCAATAAATCAATCAGCGATCAATAAATCAGTCCCCAATAAATCAATCAGTCCCCAATAAATCAATCAATCAATCAATCAGCGATCAGTAAATCAATCAGTCCCCAATAAATCAATCACTCCCCAATCAATCAATCAATCAGTGATCAATCAGCCACCCCAGCCGTACCGGACAGGCTGAAGCCGGACTGGTGCAGGTTCCCAATCAATCAGTCCCCAATCAATCAATCAGTCCCGAATAAATCAATCAATCACCAATCAATCAATCAATCAATCAGTCCCCAATCAATCAATCAGTCCCCAATCAATCAATCACCAATCAATCAATCAATCAATCAATCAGTGATCAATAAATCGCCCCCAGCCGTACCGGACAGGCTGAAGCCGGACTGGTGCAGGTTCCCAATCAATCACTCCCCAATCAATCAATCAATCAATCAATCACTCAGTGATCAATAAATCCCCCCCGCTGTACCGGACAGGCTGAAGCCGGACTGGTGCAGGTTCCCAATCAATCACCAATCAATCAATCACCAATCAATCAATCAATCAATCACTCAGTGATCAATAAATCGCCCCCAGCCATACCGGACAGGCTGAAGCCGGACTGGTGCAGATTCCCAATCAATCAGTGATCAATCAATCAATCACTCGGTGATCAATAAATCAATCAGCAATCAATCAATCAATCAATCAGCAATCAATCAATCAATCAATCAGTGATCAATCAATCAATCAATCAATCACCAATGAATCAATCAATCAATCAGTGATCAATAAATCCCCCCCGCTGTACCGGACAGGCTGAAGCCGGACTGGTGCAGGTTCCCAATCAATCAGTGATCAATCAATCAATCAATCAATCACCAATCAATCTATCAATCAATCAATCAGTGATCAATCCCCCCAGCCGTACCGGACAGGCTGAAGCCGGACTGGTGCAGGTTCCCAATCAATCAATCAATCAATCACCAATCAATCAATCAGCAATCAATCAATCAATCAGGGATCAATCCCCCCCGCCGTACCGGACAGGCTGAAGCCGGACTGGTGCAGGTTCCAAATCAATCAATCAATCAATCAGTGATCAATCAATCAATCAATCACCAATCAGTGATCAATAAATCCCCCAGCCGTACCGGACAGGCTGAAGCCGGACTGGTGCAGGTTCCGGACGGGCGGCGCCTGCTGCTTGGCCGGGGAGGTTTTGGCGGACGACGCCGGCGTCACCGTCTTGGGCGTCACCGACACCTCGCACACGGGGCCATCGTAGAGACCGCGGGGAACGCCCCGCAGCTCGGCCAGCTGCCACGGGAGAGAGGGGAAAACCGGGTCAAAATGGGGGCAAAATGGGGTTCAAACGTGGGCAAAATATGGGCAAAATGTGGGCAAAATGGGGTTAAAGATTTGGGGAAAATATGGGCAAAATACGGGCAAAGTGCGGTAAAAACATGGGCAAAATGGGGTTAAAACATGGGCAAAATATGGGCAAAATGGGGTTAAAATATGGCCAAAATACAGGCAAAATGGGGTTGAAACATGGCCAAAACATGGCCAAAATGGGGTTAAAACATGGCCAAAATACAGGAAAAATGGGGTTAAAGCATGGACAAAATACGGGAAAAGTAGGGTTAAAACAAGGACAAAATACGGGCAAAGTATGGGCAAAATGGGGTTAAAACATGGCCAAAATACAGGCAAAATGGGGTTAAAATGTGGACAAAACACAGGCAAAATGGAGTTAAAACATGGACAAAACATGAGCAAAGTGGGGTTAAAATGTGGCCAAAATATGGTGAAAATACGGGCAAAATGGGGTTAAAACATGACCAAAATACGGGCGAAATGGAGTTAAAACATGGACAAAAATGGTGAAAATACAGGCAAAATGGGGTTAAAACGTGGACAAAATATGGGCAAAGTGGGGTTAAAACATGGCCAAAACATGGTGAAAATAGGGGCAAAATGAGGTTATGACATGGCCAAAACACCACAGGTAAAACAGAGCAAGGGGTGGGAGGATTGTGAGCAGCAGCACCAGCACAGCTCTGGAATTATCCACGAGAGGGCAACACTTCAAACAGTAAATAATTCTTCCTCAGAAATTATTTCACCTATAAATAAACGCCTAAAAATCTCTTTCACTTATAAATAAATTCCTAAAATTCTCTTTCATCTATAAATAAACACCTAAAATTCTCTTTCATC